ATTCATTAAGTGGGTGTTTGACCCCGTTTTTTAGGAAGAATTAGTTTTTGAATAGTGATTGATGGTAGAATGTATAGTGAAAAAGTGATGAAAAGTTTTAAATTTGTGTGTAATATTATTTTATTTGGAGAATGTGTGGTTGAAAATGAGTACTGTAAAAAAAATGAATGGGAAAAAAGGAGAAAGAATGGGGCTCAAACATGGGGTAAAAATAGTTGCCCTAAAGCAATAACCCAAACATTAATGCCTCAGTCATTGAGAAAATAGCCAATACAACCAAGGTAAAAGGATAGGTTTTCGACACTCGGACTAAACCCGTAAAATCACAGTACTCAGCCCTCACTCAAGAACAATTGTTCACACAAGAACACGATGCTCATCACAAGTAAAAATCACTCAAGATTACAATATTGTGAGAATAATCAAAATCAAAAGGAGAGTTTTGATTTTCAGAGAGAAGGAGAGTAGAAATCTCGAACGGTGCAGGGAGAGAGAGAAATATCAGAAGCCAATGTACATTGCAAGCCATAGGAAGCCTTTTATAAGAGTCACCCAAAAGGTCCTCATCTAACAGTCGTGGAGATTACATTTAGTGACATCTTGGGCGTCCATTCAAAAAGTAAGATAAAACACAGCATTCATCAATTCAGAAACACGACTTTGCACCATTTAAAAAACACATAAGGATCAGTCAACCGATCTATAGTCCAGTTGAAACGGGTGTTTGCATCATTGTGACATTCCCTTCATTCTCTACCTTGGTACAATGATTTACATTCATCAGTGGCTATTCCTCCATTTTAGACATCATCAGCATACCTTACCAGATCCTCAGATCAACACACAGTAATGTTCAGCAAAGTTAAACAATCCAGGAACTTGTTTAGAGGCAACACTTTGGTGGTACCTACATCAGCAAGATTATAATTAGTAGATATCTTTTCAAATTTCACAACTCTTTGAGAAATAATATCCCTTATAAAGTGAAATCCAACATTAACATGTTTAGATCTATTATGTAATATAGGATTTCTACTTAAATGAATGGTAGATTGACTATCTGAATAAAGAACAACTTTTTTAGTAAAACCAAATTCATTTAATAATCCTTTAAACTAAATTCCCTCTTTAATGGCATATGTAGTAGCTATGTATTCTACCTCAGTTGATGATAATGCAACAATCTTTTGAAGTTGGGATTTCCAGCTAATGCAAGAATAACACAAGGAATACATGTAGGATGAAGTAGATTTTCTGTTATCTCTATCACCTACATAATTA